GCGTTGCAACAGGAATGGGACAATCTGGACCAAAATGACCTTAGACGTCTCATTAGGAGTATGCCACGTCGGGTCAATGCTTGTTTGGCAAACAGAGGAGGATTTACCCGTTACTGACTTGGTTGTGATGCTGTGGTAACTTTGCTGTTTGACCCCGGGTATCATTTTACCCTTATAATAATCAGTCTGTGCCTTACTTAGTCTAACGATCATTTGGAATAAATCGATGAATGTGAACTTCATTTCATTTTGTCATTTGTTTCTTCGTCAGTTTCATTAGGTGACTTCAATAACACTTAAAAATCAAATATCCCCTACTTTTTTTGAATAGTATATTAAAGAGGGAGAAATGGGGTTTAACGTCCACTCGACACAAACTACGTCATTTCGGGACTAACACATGGTTCAATTTTATTTCAATCATTCGATTGCGCGTAGGGGTCTTTAGCTGTGGGAGGAAACCGGAGGACCCGGAAAAACCCCACGAGGTTGGACAGGCGACCCTACTCCTTGTCACGTGCAACCGGGGAATCGAAACCCCGCCAGTTGACTCAATGACAGACCGTATGATACAGCGCGCGCGTGCTAACCATTCGGCCATCCAACCCCCCTAACAGCAATGACTGAAAAAAAAAAAAACTATAGTAAAGAGAAACTTCAGAAGACGGGTGCTAGTTCTGAATCTAATTTACACATTGTTATTTAAAAATCAAAGATGGCGGCCAATTGCCCCCGGGTATGAAATCAAGACAGATTCTTACCTGCTGGTCGTAGTCTTTTTTTTGCAATTATAAGTATTTGAACAACGGGTGTAGCACCGAATAACTAATATTAATTAAGCACGGTTTCAGAAAAATTAAAACAGATTCATTAGATTGCTGAATTACCGGAACGCTTAAATTTTCCTTGTCCGCCATTATAAAAAAAACCACACTTTCGGTGCAATGGTTCTGAATCTGACTTGTTCGTTTTAAACGAAATAAATTATTAATACATGTATACATAGAAGCAATATATCGATGCTAAATTAAATACACGGTTTTATTTTTTGTGAAAATTTACAAACCTGCGGTCTGGTATTCTATGTGACCATTATAATTTTCAAAAATATGAGGGCTGAAGCACTCTGTTGATGCTAACTTCACTACTTGCGAAATGTAGCGTACTACATTCAGATATCTAACTGAATGTCACTGACATAATATGAGATACATCTGGACGATCAATTAAATTTGATTGGTTACTTTTCAGTTAACCAATACTGTCCAATTTCGATTACATCAACCAATTACAATATTTAGAGTTTTACTCATTTTTTTCCAATGCAAATTGAATCAATTTTCGAAAACACCAGGGTGCTGAAAATCACATGTACTCTATATATTCCTTTGATCTATCAGTTTATTGGGCCAATACAGACAACTTAAAGGGACAATAACACTCTTGCTGGCTTGACAGCTCGAGAAAATAAATAATAGCCTTATTCTAAGTACTAGATGTTTAAGTGTCCTACCTGTTGTGTAAATTATCCATTACATCCTATTTTACTTGTCCAGAGGGTTCGAAAATATTTTTAAATCATTTAGTGTGTGTTAAGATGAAATTTGTATCACCAATTAATTGGAATATTGTAATATAGTACAATTTGTTGACCAGAATAAAAATTGGGACATATTATTCAGTTACAACATTTAACACCAATTAAAATTAACATTAAAGTCTGTCTGACAATTGTCTGATTAATTAGTACTGACACTCTTCCAGTCAAAAACAACACTTAATTTTCGGGATTTGAATTAAGCCTTTTATTACTTTTCTTAAACTTGTGGACTCCCGAATTCAGATTTTGTATGGAGTTTATTTTTAAAGAAAAAAAATCGTTGACGGTACAAATTACTTGTGTTAATGATATGAAAAAAACACACAGGATTTTATAAATCTACTCAAGTTTGTGTCATTGCAATGCAAAACAACACAAACTTGTGTAGATTAGTTTTAACGCAAGTTCTTTTCAGTGTACGTTTTGGAAGGTATTCCATCTCCTAAACTGCCTGGAGGAAACACTGAACCAGCAAAGTAACATACAAATTGTTAGTAGAAGATTTAATGGGATTATGTCGTTTTCTGGCTTCAAATATTATATAAATTATTATTTACATGACAAGACCATAATCAACTCTCTGGGTCATCGTAAGGCCGATATATTGGGTGGATTAGAAAACCCGCTCCATTTAATAATTTTACATTAAACTGGATAACCGAGACATAGTTTATTATTGTATCAAAATTGTCAAAATTTCAAACACTCATCATTTGACTGAAATTTTCAATATTTCATTTTTCATTATCTATTTTTGAACTCTATCAATGACGGACAGCTCTTCATCTAAATCTTACATAATGCATCGTTCCAATTATGTTTTAAATATGTGTATTGTTGAAATTTTAAATATTTTAATTTTTTCATTATCTATTTTTGAACCATGGTAGCAATGACAGCTCTTCATCTAAATCTTACATAATGCATCGTTCCAATTATGTTTTAAATATGTGTATTGTTGAAATTTTCAATATTTTAATTTTTTCATTATCTATTTTTGAACCATGTTAGCAATGACGGACAGCTATTTATCTAAATCTTACATAATGTATCGTCAAAATAGTTATTTCACAAATAACCACAGTTCCAATTATATATTAAATCACGAATATGCGTGTCGTGTGCGAGGTAAGGTTTACTTACTATTTCTAAAGCCCTTTATACTAATTTCAATTTGTTGTGTTTATACCAGAGGTTATTTGCCTCTACTGGCGACCGTTGCATAAGAAATTCAGCGTCTGAAATACAGATACAAAGGGTGTTGCATGCATAGTAGGGAGTGTCTATTCTTCTGCAATACCTGACGTCGCTATCTGCGGAACAAAATATATCTCCCTGGTATTGTTTTCATGACTTTCCGTTCTTTAGTGTATAAACACAAATATATCCCACAAAGTGTGCGACGTACAATCCACTCCACGAACCTCTCCAATTACAGATAATAAAGTAGAGAAACTAGACGGCTGTCCTGGGGAATTAGCCAATTGTACGATCATATTGAATGAAGCCAAGAAAGAAGGAAATAGATCACTAGCCTGTCAGTAAGTACTGATTTGTATTATTTTATCCTGCAGGAGAATCGAAAGCTTGTAAGTTTTTCAGTCTTTATCATTAAAACACACATCCATTTTTAAAAGACAATGTTGGTGTCCACAAATTTTACATAATATGTGATATAACTGTTTAAACACATTCCAGATACGATTTTAACATGTAGATCGTATCTACAGTTGAAGAAGAAAATATGATAAGATGATATCTGTTTGAAACAAGCTGTTCATAAAATAAATTGACTGTCATGAGATCAGAGAAAGCGCGAAAAATAGAAACGTCCGCATTGCTTGTTTCGCGTACATCGTTCTTTGAAGCTGCCGTGTAATTACAAAAGCCTAACTATTTTTATCTATCACAAGGTCCTCAACTCGCTTAACTCCACACGTTGTGTACTTTTTAACTATATTACATCAATGGTAATTATTGGACGTAATACATTTACACCCTCTAAACTCAACCATTCCCGGGATATTGGAGATTTAAGATTTCCATGACGGCCGTATTGGATTTATGCTAATTACTCGAAAACCTATCTTTTTTTATTTTTGAAGATTTGCGTTTGGGAGACCTCCATGGACACGTCTACCAGATTTCGTGGGAAAAATATTATGTTGCAATTTGTTCTAGGTTATTTATTACCTTTACCGGACTATTGCCTTGTTTTGTGTATATTGTTCTTTGAAGCTGTCGTTTAATTACAAACGCCTAACTATCTTTCTTTGGTGTTGATCGCCTGTACCCGAATTCAAACGAAAATAGACCCTTTTACAGGTGACCATGTTACTTTGTATTATCATCAAGATTCCTCCCTGTTTTTTAGCATGAACACAGGGGGGTTGGATGGCTAAATGGTTAGCGTGCGCGCGCTGTATCATAAAGTCTGTCATTGAGTCGACTGGCGTGGTTTCGAATCCCCGGTTGTACGTGGCAAGGAGTAGGGTCGCCTGTCCAACCTCGTGGGTTTTCTCCGGGTCCTCCGGTTTCCTCCCACTGCTAAAGACCCCTACGCGCAAGCGAATTATGTAAATAAAATCAAACCATATGTTAGTCCCGAAATGACCTAGTTTGTGTCGAGTGGACGTTAAACCCCATCTCTCTCTCTCTCTCTTTAGCATGAACAAGCAATACAAGCTATGTATGAAAGATAATACAGCATCATGTGATGCAAGTCTTCAGCCAACAATTGATAAAAATGTAGCAGATGCCGATGCTGTCTTTCAAAACAGAAAATACTTTTGTGATGAAAGTAAGTAAATAAAATTGTATTTATTAAAAATCATGATTTTAGCTTATAGTGTATCTTGAACTATGGGTTTTATTGACTTAACCAACTCTATAATGACCGCCTTTATCCAAAAGGACTTGGTAATGATCTGACTGATTGTGATACTGGTTTTGTCGACTGTTATGATAAACTGAAAGTTATTGGTTTAACAGCTGTATCGTCCACTGAAGTCTGTCCGTAAGTATAACCATTTTTAGTATAAAGCGAATGGTGTAAAATAGACGATCATGGTAAGTATACTTTTCGTTCATGGTAACATTAAAATACCGGATAATCTAACCAATGGCCTAGATATACTCAGATGTTGACAATTCATCATTAAAATTTGATAGAGACAACGTTGACTAAGTGAGTAATGCCAAGAAAGTTCCCATAGATGTCCGTCTTCACTAGCCCAGTTTGTGAAGAAGAATAGGATTTAAATCCAACTTCAATTCACCATGCCTGGTTACATCTTGGAACGAGTCCTTAATTTAATCTGTTATTTCAGTGTTGCTGACGACTATAAGAATTGTGTAGATGAAATGGTTGGAAATTGTACAACAAAGATAAAAACTTTATATTTAGAAACAACAAATATTACCTGGTCCAGTTTTAAAGAGATTCCATATTTATGCGATGACGGTTTGTTATCCAGTTTTTTCTATACGGAATGGGTGTTTTATGTTATTTCAATATAGTTTAATCCCCCAATTAAACCGCCTGCTTAATGTTTAATGAAAACCATGCATTTTTATTTATATATTAACTAGAAAACTGGCAATTTCGGTCAGAACTCTGTAATGGCAACCAAACTTTAGTTTAGTAGGCTTACTGCTGTTCTCTGTGTGCTATAATAGAATATAATTATTTTCAGAGGATGCCTGTTTCGTCGTTTTTCAATCTTGTAATCAAACCAGATCAGTCCAATATGGCTGCGAGTGAGTATAAAATTGCTATACGTAATAAATCCTAAGGGGTAATCATAGACAGCGAGTCCATAAAAATATAGGCGATATCAAGTAAATAGTAAGTGGGCTTCCTAAGTGGAAAACTGAATAATTAGGTGTACATGACAAAGTAAGCATACTCTGTCCCGAGTACGATTACCAAGATGTAAAGCAGTATCAAGAGCCTCGGATAATAAACATTCTATTTTAGGCGCGCGAACCCGTCGTACATTATAGAGTATTCACGGAATATATCTCAATAATCTCTACAATACTACCATGCAACTTTTTGAATGTGCTTTTGACTTTAGCATTGTCTTAGTAGTAATTAAGATGTTGGCAATATACCACATAAGCTGGATCTTGGGGTATATTGCATATGAAAGGGCACTTAATAATCAAACTCATCCCCTTTGCCATATAACTGGCAGCAGGTCGACCAACCTGAAAATATAACCCACCAAATGTTTTTGATGGATTATAATATATATTAAAATATGTGTAGATTCAGAATCTGTATGATGCCACCCTGGTTTGAAGGTGTGTCTATAAGAATTCGACGAGCTAAATCCAATGAACGTGGTCGGGTATCCCTCTCAAAAGTGACAGCTAATTAATTTTGGCGGGAAAGTCACAACGCATCTGGTGCTCGGGATAAATTCCAATATGACTGCTATATTCAAAATGTCGGCCACGTTTGACAGGAAACTTTGATGTTAGTAATGTAATGATGTAATACTTCAAACTATAAACGTAAATATGGTTCTCAAATACGACATAATAGCTAAGTTTAGGGGACCATGAAAGAAAATAGTAATGTAAACACTTCTGTATCAAAGGACTAAGAGCAAGGCAGGATAGGCGTTAACAAGATACACTGCCCCTTGTAATCTTATAAGAACACAAATTCTTCACAGCCAAACCCAATCCACCACCAGACCATAGTGAGTTGACAGCAAATGTTTTCGCCATTTTGAATATAGCGATCATATTTGACATTTTTTAGTCGTAACATATTTTTATGTTTATATCTGAATTATTTGACCCCGGAAACCTATATTGCAATATATCTCCCCCCCCCCCCCCGCCCCCAATATGAGGAAATTTATGATTTTCTCGCCAAAACGAACCCCGGTTTTGAAATTGGCCCCCTAGCAGAATTAGCCGTCACGTGAGGGTGTGATACATTGGTCACAAATGTTACTTAACTAGATTTCCAGACAATTCCCCATGGCGGCCATCTTGAATATTTGAATTTTCCCAAGAATGACAGGATGGGATCATCCGGATTCTGAATCTACATATATTGAAGATATATAATCCATCAAAAAACAACGTGTCGAAGCATTATCGGTAATTTAATTGGTCTCATCATATTTAGTGTGCGAAATCACATCATCAATATACTTCATCAATATACTTACAATTAAGTATGATAATATTACCATATTCATTTACTTTGTAGACATCCACATCTTTGTATTGTTGATGTATATTTCATTTATTCACATGACAGCTTAATTGTTCAACACAATACTTGTTTAAGTGGTATATCTCCACTGTGCGATGCTGATCCTCTAGCAAATTTAACAGCATACTTGAATACAATGAATGAAGTCATAAGATCTACTGATCCACGTGGATGTAAGTTACAACTAAACAAAGGCTAACTTTATACTTTATGACTAGATGGTTACTTATTATACTCATACACTTTCGCGTGTGCGAACATATCGTCGCCCCTGTCTGCCCGTACGTCCATTGACATTTTGTGGAAACTTAAGATAAATGTTTATATCACAAAGATCTTGCATTTTCGCACAGATCGTATTGCCCCTGATTGTACGAAAATCTCGTACATAGCCTTTCAAGCATACTGTCATAAAATGTTATTATCACAAAGATCTTCCATTTTCGCACAGATCGGGGGTCTCGGTGGCTAAGTGAGTAAGACGCTGGCTCGCTAGCCTGGTTCCTCCGTGTCAGTGATGCAGGACGGAGGGTCTGAAAAGGACAGCTGTCTAGTCGTTCGGATGGGGCGAAAAACCGAGGTCCCGTGTACATACTGGCGTCCACGTAAAATTCGATATAAGAGTAGGCCGTAGTTCAGCTATCCTGGCAAAATTTCCCTCATAGCACACTGTATGGCGTATGCCCGTCTTCATTAGCCCACGTCGGAGCAGAACAGTAAAAGGTTAAACCCCATTTCATTTCATTTCATTTCATTTCATTTCATTTTTTCGCACAGATCGTATTGCCCCTGATTGTACGAAAATATCGTACACAGCCTTTCAAGCATTCTGTCATAAAACCTTTACCAATAAAACCGTCTCTTGGGTGTGAAGTTTTGAAAAACGATCGCTCTTGTTTCTAATTTAAATATTCGTGTCATCATGGACACAAATTTATCAATGAAAAATCCTACCAGTTATTTTTGCAAAACATGTTATTACCACACCAAGAACATTATAAGTAGGTCATTTTATAACAGCAGATGCTGCAGGAACTCTGGTACGGTGTGTCATACTTTCTCGTCTAGACTACTATAAAAGTCTGTTATCTGGAATAACCAATTAAATAAAAAGAACAACTAAAACGCCTTCAGTGGTTACACGATTCATGGGCAAAGGATTGTGACCACATATCGTCTGTTTTATCCTCTCGTCATTCGCTTCGTATCAGTGAACGTTTTGAATTTTAATCATTGTGTTTAACATACCAGGCAATTCACCTGTGTATTTCTTGTTCAGGGACATTTACCGTTTAGGAACCTTCGACCAGGAAATGTTTTTCAGCTACAATTACCAACTTAAAATTTAAAAACATTTGGCGCAAGATCATTTTCATATCTGCCGGTTCTCATTGGAATAACCTTCCTACTTACTTGAAACAGGACCCACCCTTATTAACTATCAAAACGTCACTGAAGACTTATCTGTTTCAACGTTATGTTTAGTATTGTGTTGTAAATATTGCTTGAATTGTAGAGAACTGAAGTCTTTCCATCCGCTATGAGTATAGGGTGGGACGATTTACCCAATACCACCCAATACCACCCAATACCACCTCAATATCACCACATACTACCCAATACTACAACATAATGATGCAAAATAGACATATCATTTGATTTTTTTTCAAAAATAGAGAGTTACATCGCGGGAAATGTACTTCAAATGCGATACCGATGTCTGGCTGTTCCATTTGCCTCCCTCTACCACCCCAAAAAAGCCAATAATAACCCAATACTACCAAATACTACCCAATATGATCAAATAACAACCTAATATTGTCAAACAACAGCACATTAGTATAATTACTGCAACGAATATTCGATATTTTGCAGAAAATTGAAATTGTTACACAGTTATCTCCCTTTACAACCGGTAAATGAATGAAATGGAGTTTAACGTCCTACTGTTCTGCTCCTAACCTGGGCTAATGAAGACGGGCATACGCCATACAGTGTGCTATGAGGGAAATTTTGCCCGGACAGCGGCACTACGGCCTACTCTTATATCGAATTCCAACTGCCAAGGGATCTTTTACGTGCACTCCAATGTGTACACGGGACCTCGGTTTTTCGTCCCATCCGAACGACTAGACAGCTTTCCTTGTCAGCCCCTCCGTCCTGCATCACTGACAAGGGAGAACCACGCCGGAAAATCTGGATGAACTTTCTCGGCCAATGCAGGGATCGAACACCCGACCTCCAGGCTAGCGAGCTAGCGTCTTACCCACTTAGCCACCAACCGGTAAATAGATTTTAGAATGCTACTCTGATTATTCATCTTCTTTGCCTTTGCAATTGATTTCCGAGACGACAAAAATAAAATAAGAAAAACAAGTATGGCGATATACCATATTTTATTCCCAAAATGACCCATCTGTCTCATACCACTTGATAGGGTCGTCTGTCAAACAAGATGGGTTTTCTTGGGTCCCCCAGTTTCATCTCACTGTTAAATATCCCTTCGCGCAAGCGAGTTAAGGAAAAAATATTGAACTATATGTAAGTCCCGAAATTACCTAGTTAGTGTCGATTGTTTGTATCTATTTTAAAATTAATGCGTTAACAAAATAATTACATAATGTTTATATTCATTTTTTCATGTCAACTATTAAGTTATTGCGTATTTACTGACTGCACGATGTTTTATTTTAAAATTAAGGAAATTCCACATGTTTCTTTCCAGTGTGTAATTCTCGACGCGAAACATCTCAGTTCATCAAAACTATCATTTGCGGCCTGTTTACAGCTCTGTCGGTTTCTTTGATAATATAAATAAAACAGAACTTGATTACCCAATCAACAATCTTAACCCCGTTTATTAATTGTTAAGTCAGGTTGAATGTATATACGAGTAGAGCATTACACATTGTGGGAGGAAACTGGAGACCGTGTCTATTCATTTAGGTGGTAATGTATCGAAGCCTATAACTACCATTCATAATTTCTACTTTTCGCCTCTTCAAAACACGAAAGTCGAAAAGTAGAAGTAACGACAAAATGTGAGGCGACAACACGCTATACAAGCCAAAATCAACTCGAAAATAGGAAATTAAGAAATAACACACAGCGATAATAGCGCCCCTCGTTTTTTCCTAATTTCTTATTTTCGACTTGCATTTTGGCTTAGATACCGTCTTGTCGACTTTCGACTTATTCATATTTTTGTATTTATTGATGTCAGTAAGAAGGCGCCAACACGCTATACAAGCCAAAATGCAACTCGAAAATAGGAAATTAAGAAATAACACACAGCGATAATAGCGCCCCTCGTTTTTTCCTAATTTCTTATTTTCGACTTGCATTTTGGCTTGTATACCGTCTTGTCGACTTTCGACTTAGTCATATTTTTGTATTTATTGATGTCAGTAAGAAGGCGCCAACACGCATACCAAGCCAAAATGCAACTCGAAAAGTAGAAATTAGGAAATTAACACACCACGCTATTAGCGACTTTTCGACTTTCGCCTCGGAAGTTGTTGTAGTCCCAGTTTTCCAGGTCGCATTTGAATACGTGTAATCACGGCTCACACTGTATTTCATTCTTTTCCGTCAAAATGGATAATAATTTTTATATAAAAAAGATGTTCATATTTTTTTCCCGCCAACTGGGATATTTTATCTGCCAAAAATGTCTGATAAAAAAAACACACCTTAGGCTACAACAATTTAATGTATTATATAGGCCTATTATAAAACAAATATCCCTTACCGATATATACAATATACAACAACATACATGGGGTTTGGGTGGTCTAGTGGTTTAACACGTGCGCGTGGGTATACAGTGTGGAATAGCGCTATACAATGTCCGTCACCTAGACTTCATGTCAGTTTGACGTTATATACAATGTCACCAAGACAATCATTTGTCACCAAGACAAGAAAATACACATGTCACCAAGACCATCATTTGCCATTAAAGACAAGAAAATTTTTTATGTCACCAAGACCATCATTTGTCACCAGGACAAGAAATATTCACCTAGGATTCTTACAACCACGTTTAAAATTACACAGATCAAACATTAGACATGTCGCTTACTCCCTACTATACAGCAACTAACACATTCAGAATAGCTTCTTAAATACTCTGACTCAAACTAAAACTCACACACAGCATGATTTCAAGTCATAATGAACATCACTCATGGCTTTATAATTGACAACCAGAACAACTTTTTAAATTCAATGCATTTATTTCAGTCTGGATAATCAGTAAACAATCTATAGCAGTAAACAAGCTTCTTAAATACTCTACCTCAAACTAAAACTCACACACAGCATGATTTCAAGTCATAATGAACATCACTCATGGCTTTATAATTGACAACCAGAAGACCTTTTTAAATTCAATGCATTAATTTCAGTCTGGATAATCAGTAAACAATCTATGGCATTAAACAAGGTCAATGCGTACATTAAAGAGACAGTACCCAACTTTATAAAGGGGCAATACCTCACTCAAAGCATGATTTTGTGACAATACGATTTTCATGAAATTGGAAATGCAAGTAGATCTGGTTCATCCAACTTCAACGATGTCATTAGAACATTTATAAGTTATCTCCCCTTGGAGAAATTAAGGATAAATTTTTTTTTAAAAAATCGACAAAATATAGGTTAGACTGCCTTGAAATGTTTTTTTCTGTACTAGCTAAGACATTACTGATGCGTAGACAAAATATGAAGTCTATCGATCTAACCGGAAGTGCCACAATCTTGAAATGTGAAAAATCACTAAGGCTTTTGATTCGAATTGAAAAGTGGCATTTTCTCCCCTTGGATAAATTAAGGATGAACTTTTTCAAAAAAATCGACAAAAAAGTAGGTCAGATTGCCTTCAAAATTTATTTCTGTACTAGCTATGATAGTACCGATGCGTACGTATAATATAGAGTTTTTCGATCGAACCGGAAGTGCCACCACCTTGAAACGTGACAAATCCCTAGGCTTTTGCGATATTTTACTTACAGACAAGGGAGTTACATTTTCTGAATCCTTGATGGAATGCCTAAAAACGTTCAGAGCAGAATTTTAATTTCGGTCAACTGCTGATCACCATTTGGAATTGAATGTGAAAAACAGTGAAAAATCCACCTTAACGGACGTCAAAATAAACACAATAGGCCGTAG